GCTATGACTGATGTACACAGACTAGGATAAGGCAGGCAGGGTTAGCTCTCTATGGCTGGCTGAAAATGTATGCATGAGGCAATGAGGGCCTAAGGGCCCAGTACACAACTTATGGCCCTTTGGTATTGCGGCATTTTGGAATACAGTCATGGCCGAAATTGTTGGCACCCTTGATATTTTTCCTGAAAATCAAGTATTTCACACAAAAAAGGTATTGCATTAACACATGTTTTGCTATACACATGTTTATTCCCTTTGTATGTATTGGAACAAATATAAAACAGAGGCAGAAAAGCAAATATGACATAATGTCACACAAAACCCCAAAAATGGGCTGGACAAAAGTATTGGCACCCTTAACTTAATATTTGGTTGCACACCCTTTGGAAAACATAACTGAAATCAGTCGCTTCCTATAACCATCAATAAGCTTCTGACACCTCTCACCCGGAATTTTGGACCACTCTTCCTTTGCAAACAGCTCCAGGTCTCTCTTATTGGAAGGACACCTTTTCCCAACAGCAATTTTAAGATCTCTCCACAGGTGTTCAATGGGATTTAGATCTGGGCTCATTGCTGGCCACTTCAGAACTCTCCAGCGCTTCTTTGCCATCCATTTCTGAGTGCTTTTTGACGTATGTTTGGGGTCATTGTCCTGCTGGAAGACCCAGGATCTTGGACGCAAACCCAGCTTTCTGACACTGGGCCCTACAGTGCGACCCAAAATCCTTTGGTAATCCTCAGATTTCATGATGCCTTGCACACAGTCAAGGCACCCAGTGCCAGAGGCAGCAAAACAACCCCAAAACATCATTGAACCTCCACCATATTTTACCGTAGGTACTGTGTTTTGTTCTTTGTAGGCCTCATTCCGTTTTCGGTAAACAGTAGAATGATGTGCTTTACCGAAAAGCTCTATCTTGGTCTCATCTGTCCACAAGACGTTTTCCCAGAAGGCTTTTGGCTTACTCAAGTACATTTTGGCAAACTGTAGTCTTGCTTTTTTATGTCTCTGTGTCAGCAGTGGGGTCCTCCTGGGTCTCCTGCCATAGCGTTTCATTTCATTTAAATGTCGACGGATAGTTCGCGCTGACACTGATGCTCCCTGAGCCTGCAGGACAGCTTGAATGTCTTTGGAACATGTTTGGGGCTGCTTATCCACCATCCGGACTATTCTGCGTTGCAATCTTTCATCAATTTTCCTCATCCGTCCACGACCAGGGAGATTAGCTACAGTGCCATGGGTTGCAAACTTCTTGATAATGTTGCGCACTGTGGACAAAGGCAAATCTAGTTCTCTGGAGATGGACTTGTAACCTTGAGATTGTTGATATTTTGCCACAATTTTGGTTCTCAGGTCCTCAGACAGTTCTCGTCTCCTCTTTCTGTTGTCCATGCTTAGTGTGGCACAGACAGACACACAATGCAAAGGTTAAGTGAACGTCTCTCCTTTTTATCTGCTTTCAGGTGTGATTTCTATATTGCCCACACCTGTTACTTGCCCAGGTGAGTTTACAGGAGCATCACATGCTTGTTAACATTCTTATTTTCCGCAGTTGTGAAAGGGTGCCAATACTTTTGTCCAGCCCATTTTTGGAGGTTTGTGTGACATTATGTCGAATTTGCTTTCTTTCCTCCCTTTTTTTGTTTTGTCCCAATACACACAAAGGGAATAAACATGTGTATAGCAAAACATGTGTTAATGCAATACGTTTCGTGTGAGAAATACATGATTTCCTGGAGAAATATCAAGGGTGCCAACAATTTCGGCCATGACTGTATGTAATGTTGGCATGTGTGGATACTGTGTATTAAAGCATTAAATAAATTAAACCCTGATAAATTGCTTAAAGGGACTGGTGCCCAACCAGAAGCCCTTTGGCACTTCTTGCGTGCGCCCTTGCAACCCCTGCAGACACTGTGTGTGTGTTCCCTGTTGCCCAGTTGTAGCACTTATTTCTAGCAATCTCGTATAATGTATCTCCAATCTAGGATTGTCACCTGAAGCATGTCCCCAGTCTCCAACAACTCTTATAACATGTTCAATCTCTGACCATCTCTTGTATCATGTCTGCCGTTTCTGACCATCTACTGTATCCCGTCTGCAGTCTCTGACCATCTCTTGTATCCCGGCCTCTGCAGTCTCTGGCCATCTCTTGTATCCCGTCTGCAGTCTCTGACCATCTCTTGTATCCCGTCTGCAGTCTCTGACCATCTCTTGTATCCCGTCTGCAGTCTCTGACCATCTCTTGTATCCCGTCTGCAGTCTCTGACCATCTCTTGTATCCCGTCCGCAGTCTCTGACCATCTCTTGTATCATGTCCGCAATCTCTGACCATCTCTTGTGTCATGTCCGCAGTCTCTGACCATCTCTTGTATCATGTCCGCAGTCTCGACCATCTCTTGTATCATGTCCGCAGTCTCTGACCATCTCTTGTATCATGTCCGCAGTCTCTGACCATCTCTTGTATCATGTCCGCAGTCTCTGACCATCTCTTGTATCATGTCCGCAGTCTCTGACCATCTCTTGTATCATGTCCGCAGTCTCTGACCATCTCTTGTATCCTGTCCGCAGTCTCTGACCATCTCTTGTATCATGTCCGCAGTCTCTGACCATCTCTTGTATCATGTCCGCAGTCTCTGACCATCTCTTGTATCATGTCCGCAGTCTCTGACCATCTCTTGTATCATGTCCGCAGTCTCTGACCATCTCTTGTATCATGTCCGCAGTCTCTGACCATCTCTTGTATCATGTCCGCAGTCTCTGACCATCTCTTGTATCATGTCCGCAGTCTCTGACCATCTCTTGTATCATGTCCGCAGTCTCTGACCATCTCTTGTATCATGTCCGCAGTCTCTGACCACCTCTTGTATCATGTCCTCTGCAGTCTCTGACCACCTCTTGTATCCCGGCCCTGCAGTCTCTGACCACCTCTTGTATCCCGGCCTCTGCAGTCTCTGACCACCTCTTGTATCCCGGCCTCTGCAGTCTCTGACCACCTCTTGTATCCCGGCCTCTGCAGTCTCTGACCACCTCTTGTATCCCGGCCTCTGCAGTCTCTGACCACCTCTTGTATCCCGGCCTCTGCAGTCTCTGACCACCTCTTGTATCCCGGCCTCTGCAGTCTCTGACCACCTCGTATCCCGGCCTCTGCAGTCTCTGACCACCTCTCGTATCCCGGCCTCTGCAGTCTCTGACCACCTCTCGTATCCCGGCCTCTGCAGTCTCTGACCACCTCTCGTATCCCGGCCTCTGCAGTCTCTGACCACCTCTCGTATCCCGGCCTCTGCAGTCAGTCCTCTGCACCACCTCTCGTATCCCGCCTCTGCAGTCTCTGACCACCTCTCGTATCCCGGCCTCTGCAGTCTCTGACCACCTCTCGTATCCCGGCCTCTGCAGTCTCTGACCACCTCTCGTATCCCGGCCTCTGCAGTCTCTGACCACCTCTCGTATCCCGGCCTCTGCAGTCTCTGACCACCTCTCGTATCCCGGCCTCTGCAGTCTCTGACCACCTCTCGTATCCCGGCCTCTGCAGTCTCTGACCACCTCTTGTATCCCGGCCTCTGCAGTCTCTGACCACCTCTTGTATCCCGGCCTCTGCAGTCTCTGACCACCTCTTGTATCCCGGCCTCTGCAGTCTCTGACCACCTCTTGTATCCCGGCCTCTGCAGTCTCTGACCACCTCTCGTATCCCGGCCTCTCTGAGAGCGCCTGCAATCGTGTCCAATGCATGTGGTTTGGTGCCCTAGTGCAGGGTCCAGTGGGATAAGGCAGTCAACGAGGAGTTGATACAAAGCCTCCTCACCACCTCTCAATCTTTCCTGAAAAGTGATCCAAGCATGGATCGCTTTTCAAGCCCGGTTCACACTGCGGTGTGGCACATCACATGCGATTTGCACAGGAACCGCACCACATTCCTGTGCAAATCACATGCAATTTCTGTGCGGAGCAATTTGAGCCATACATTCTGTATGACTCAAATCACACTACATCCGCACCAAAGTAGTGCAAGACCCTTGTTTTTGTCCGCACCAGAATTCTGCACGTCGCACTGCGTTTTGCGAACCGATTTTGGGGTGTTAAATTAAAATACACACCTGCAGCGGTTCACATGAACGGGGTGCGATTATGATGCAGTGCGGAAATCACCCAGAAACCGGGCTCAAAGGAGCATTAGTCCCTGCCGCAGAGAGCGTGTGGCCAGGATTAAAATACCGCATACTTGTTCCAGGTCCGAAATTCAAGTGCTACGGCCAAAGGATCAGTGGGACTGCCAGGCGTTCAGCATTTTTGGATGTCTGAGCACATGATCCTGGTGCAAACTTTCCTGAATAGCTCGGCTAGTACGCCAGCTTCGGAAAATACTGAAATCTGTGGACCAGCATAGCAGCCAGGAAAACGGCATTTGATGCAATGAATTTCTCCCAGATTACAGAATTGGAGCGATTCTAGTAGGCTGAGGTGCCCCCTACATAACTCAATGTAGGATTTCCATACTTATTCCGACTGTCTTCATAGAGAAGCATTGTAAGAGACTCCCTTCTTGTCGTGCGTTTAACTCTTGACCTGCGTGCGTCAGTGCCACGAAGCAGCGCCATGGCGAGATTTGCATGTGTTAGAAGGATCCCGTCATTGGTTTGGAGGTTCAGACGTTCTCTTTCGAATGCTGTTTCTGTTCAAACAAAGTTTTATGATGGTGGCAGTTCGCCCTAAGTATCACCTTGTAAAAAGTGCGCTAAATGGTCTGGGTATTCGCGGCTACAAAAAACCCTCTTTCTACTAAAAGGCTCGCTGTACGGCGTAAATCATCTGCCTAATGCCCAGCATAAAAAAAAAGTTCTGTTTTAAATTTCTTTTTTTAATATTATACATTGACTTTTCTCTGCCGCTTGTTAACGTAAATTTTCTAATGACCGTCGCAGATAGCCTGCTGGAGGGAGAAGTGCAGCTACAAGGTATGTAAACTCCGCCTGGTTCCGTGATTTAAAGTGTTACTAAACCCAGGACCCTGCATTCACTTATATCTGGTCTCCCCGGACCCTGCATTCACTATATCTGGTCTCCCCGGACCCCGCATTCACTATATCTGGTCTCCCCGGACCCTGCATTCACTATATCTGGTCTCCCCGGACCCCGCATTCACTATATCTGGTCTCCCCGGACCCCGCATTCACTATATCTGGTCTCCCCGGACCCCGCATTCACTATATCTGGTCTCCCGGGACCCCGCATTCACTATATCTGGTCTCCCCGGACCCCGCATTCACTATATCTGGTCTCCCGGGACCCCGCATTCACTATATCTGGTCTCCCTGGACCCCGCATTCACTGTATCTGGTCTCCCGGGACCCCGCATTCACTGTATCTGGTCTCCCGGGACCCCGCATTCACTGTATCTGGTCTCCCGGGACCCCGCATTCACTGTATCTGGTCTCCCGGGACCCCGCATTCACTGTATCTGGTCTCCCGGGACCCCGCATTCACTGTATCTGGTCTCCCACAGTACACACAACATTAAATGCAATTATTTTAGTAACTATAAACTGCTGAATACCTTTTCTCATCAGCAGTTACAGCAGTCTTGTGACTTCAGCAGAGCACTGGTTAAAGCTTGTGGGAGGAATTTTCTTTCTGATCTAGGAGGATGCAGAACCCCTGACCTCTGTCTGGACAGTGCTGATCGACCCTGTGCTGATCACATGCACTCTCCCAAAAAGGAAAAAAAAAAAAAAAAAACCTCTAGCAATACACACCAAACAGCATGTGCAAAACGCCTACGGTTCAGTCTGTCTTATCAGGAGATAAGAGGTGGTCACTTGAAAAAGGGGAGGAACAGAAAAGAAAGGATCAATCGGCCTTTTTACACAATGCAGTAAGTAACCCTTTAGGCTCCACAATATGTATAACAAGCATGCATTATGGATATGCAGACTGATTTTACTGTTGTAGGCTTAGTAACACTTTAAAGTAGAACTATAGGCAAACTTTTTTTTTTTTTTTTTTTCTTTCATTCATTTTGGATAGAATAAGGGAGGGTTACAACCTCTGTAGGTTTTTTTTTTTTTTTTGCAGTGTCCCATGGGGGAGATTTCCCTTCACTTCCTGTCCTATAGCCACAACAGGAAATGAGAAGAAATCCCTCCAAAGTGAGAGAATCTCTGGTGGTCACTAGAATTGGTGTCCATATTGGAAGTTCCCCTGATATTCCTGTTCTGGTGACAACTCAAAACTATAATAAATATATATATATATAGTTATATTTTAAGGTAGAACTCCTGTGTATAATGGCCAAACTTTATCTTTATGCGTTGTTGTATTATTATTATTATTATATACAGGATTTATATATTATTATTATACAGGATTTATATATTATTATTATTCAGGATTTATATATTATTATTATTATTATACAGGATTTATATTTATATTATTATTATTATTATTATTATACAGTACTTATTATTATAGCGCCAACAGTTTGCTCAGCACTTTACAATATAAGGGAGACAGTACAGTTCAATACGAGAGGGTTAGGTGGGCCCTGATCCTTGGAGCTTACAATCTAAGAGTACCCTGCATTACGAAAAATAGTGCAGCTTTCTAATTTACCGTAATGTGATGCATGTAAATACGCTACATGATGTGTTAATCTAAATCAGGAATCTCCAAACTTTCTAAACAAAGGGCCAGTTTACTGTCCTTCAGACTTTAGGGGACCGGTCTGTGCCCTGTGGGAGTAAACAATGCCCCATTTTTGGTATTAGGAGGAGAAAATCAGTGGGAGGAATAGTCCCCCATCGTTGGTGTTAGTGAGAGGAACAGTCCCCTATCCGCTGCCCATCGTTGGTATCAGTTGGAGGAGTAGCTGCCCATCATTGGTGTCAGTGGCAGGAGTAGTCGTCGCCCATCGTTGGTGTCAGTGGCAGGAGTAGTCGTTGCCCATCATTGGTATCGGTGGGAGGAGTAGCCGCCCATCGTGTCAGTGAAGGAGTAGTCGCCCATCATTGGTGTCAGTGGGAGGAGTAGCCGCCCACCGTTGGTGTCAGTGGGAGGAGTAGTCCGCCCATCGTTGGTGTCAGTGGGAGGAGTAGCCGCCCACCGTTGGTGTCAGTGGGAGGAGTAGCCGCCCACCGTTGGTGTCAGTGGGAGGAGTAGCCGCCCACCGTTGGTGTCAGTGGGAGGAGTAGTCGCCCACCGTTGGTGTCAGTGGGAGGAGTAGTCGCCCACCGTTGGTGTCAGTGGGAGGAGTAGCCGCCCACCGTTGGTGTCAGTGGGAGTAATAATGCCTCAAAGGGCCGCAGTTTGGAGACCAATGATTTATATCATCATCTTTGAGAAATGTCCTCTTCCTGTTGTGTCTCCAGGACAGGAAGTGATGGTAATTCTCCTCGATGGGGTACAGGCAGCTTTACATATACACTGCGTGAGGACTTCTGAGACTTGCAGTTCCCCAGCTGCGTTTGGTACGTCCCTGTGTTGGGTGGATCCCGGCGGTTCTTGTTTTTTGGCAGAGTCCTCTTAGTAGTCCAGACTGCGAGGCCTGCATTATATTATGTGTTATATAATCACCAGCTGTATGGGGCCCGTGGTTTATGTTCTAATCTTACAGCTCAATGGTGTTTGGATTGAATTTCCATATGTTACATGTGTTATGTAATACTCCATGGGATTTTTTATATAAATATTCTGTCTTAACACCAGTTTCTCTCCGATTCTAGGTTCTCCATTGGAATGTTTCCCATATAGAATGTACCAATGTTCAGCTACATTTTGCTGATCACAGCGACTCTTGTGTTCTGACACGGTTACATTTTCAGTGTCGCTCTCAGCCCCTCTTATCTGCTCACCAACAGTTACATTACTGAGATGTTCCCGGCCTTAAAGGAGCACTCCACCCAAAATAGAGTTCAGCTTTTGGTAGATGGAGAGTTGAACTACCTAATAGATCCCTATGTCCCTCAGAAATTCTATTGGTGGGATCTCTGCACCCGAGTTCCTGGGGCTGCACACCGTCTATTATGGGGCCCTGCGTTCTGTCCTCGGTTTATTTTAGGTTCGGACGCATGCAGCAGGATTTGGATGCACAGATGGGTGCAAACACCCCAAACTCTCAGGTAGAGAGGAAGTAGAACAGGGAGTGTCCAAGACATCGGAGAAGCTTCCAGGGGCCGACACAGCCCACCGGGCTCCACCTTTAGGGCCAGTTCACACTCCATGCATTTCAGGCTGCATTTTTCCTGCACAGAGCTGTACTGGAATACAGTAAAACGCATAAAAAATGCACCTGAATGCATAAATCGCACTGGAATGCACATATCCCTTTTTTAAATTGAAGAATAAGAGGGGAAAAAAAACAGAATGCATCATAACGCACTGGAACACGTCAAAAACATGCATGCAGAAACACATCCGGAACACATCTGGACTGCGTTTCTATGGTGTGAACTGGCCCTTAAACTGTTACTAAACCCTCAACAGTAAAATCAGTCTGTATATGAAGTACAGCATGCTTGTTATACTTATTGTGGAACCTAAGGGGTTAATCCTCTGCATTGTGTAAAAAGGCTGTTTGATCCTGTCTTCTCTGCCCCTCCTCTTCAAATGTCCACCTGATAAGACAGACTGAACCCGTAGCCACATGCTCAGTTTAGTATGTATTTCTAGAAAGGTTGTTTTTTTTTTTTTTTTTCTCTTGGGAGAGTGCATGTGATCAGCACTGTCCAGACAGAAGTCCAGGGTCCTGCATCCTCCTAGAGCAGAAAGAAAACTCCAAGCATTAACCAGTGCTCTGCCGAAGTCACAAGATTGCTCTAACTGCTGATGAGAAAAGGTAGCTGTTTATATGTACTAAAATAATTACACGTCCATGTTCTGTGTACTGTGGGGGACCAGGTATAGTGAATGCGGGGTCCGGGGCGACCAGATCTAGTGAATGCGGGGTCCGGGGAGACCAGATCTAGTGAATGCAGGGTCCTGGGCAGGGGCAGACTGACAACTCATGGGGCCCCCGGGCAATAGGGGATCATAAGGCCCTTGTGTCCTTGCCCAAACTCAAAAAAGCCTATGAAAAAGGTACCAGGGGCATCTCATGGGACCCCCTACTGACCCCGGGCCCTCGGGCAGTGCCCGAGTTTCCAAATGGTTAGTCCCCCCCTGGTCCTGGGTTTAGTAACACTTTATATATAAACCCTCAACTTTTAAACCCCATTCAATATAAAATTGAAACAGAAAAGTGACAGCAGAAAAAAGAGTGAGTGGTCCATGGAGTATGCTTGTTTTTGGTTTTTTATGTTTGTTTTTTTTAATTGTTTTCTTTGTTTTTTTTTTTTTGTATAGATCTATACTTGTCCCAAGCATGTTTGGAAAAAATAAACGAAAGGCAAAACATTTGTGTATACATTAAAAAAAAAAAGTGAAAAAAAGGATTTATAGTTGATTTTTTTTTTTGTTTTGTTTTTTTATGTGATTACATACCTTCTGTTTTCAGCTGTGGAACTTCACTCTCCCGATAAACATGGACTATTTTTAATACTTATGCGGCTAGCATTAGTAACTAGATAGGAAAGTAGATCATATTTACTAGTTTTAAACTTTTCTTTGCATTTCTTCAGTTACTATCTGTTTTCCATGCCTAGGCAAATGATGTCATACATCCCAGAAGTTTTGAGAAGGGAAGGGAGTGTTCTCAGTTCAGCCAATGCCTGAGCTAAGGGCAGATGGATTCCAGGGAGTAAATGCTACATGAATCATCTGTCCTCATCGGACATATCTAGAGTTAAGCTTTAAGTGTCGCAACTCATAGCAGCCAATCAGAAGTCAGATGGGTACAAGATGGTACTCTGGGTAAGCCTAGAGTCATGTAGTTCTTGTAGTTGTCAGAAGGGCTGATATGCATGAGAACATTAGTCAGGGGCCCATGCTGCCTTAATCTTTTTTTTTTTTTTTAGTAAAGCAGCAAAAATGTATCTCCATAGCTGCTGAGTCAAGGGTCTGCTATAAAATGAAACTGCATTGTGTGTAATGGTAGGGATATGGGAAGAGATGAAAGACCAGCTTTGTTTCCTGTTGCAGGCCCACAGGTGCTGAATTCTGGACACTTAAGTGGAACTGCACTGCATCTGAGCACCGCAAACCAAAAAATGTGATTTTATTAATATTCAAAGCAAACTCTCCCATCCATACATGTCTCCCTTTATTTTGCTGAGAAATTGTTTTGGAAAGCTCCCCCTGGCATTTCTGGCAGTGGCCATCTTGAATAAGGGCAGATGGTTTGTGTAGCATTTACTTCCTGGAATCCATCTGCCCTTAAATCAGGCATTGGCTGAGCTGAGAACCCTCCCTCCCCTTCTGAAAATTCCTATGATGTATTGCATAGTTTGCCTAGGCATAGAAACCAGGAAGTATCAAAGGAAATGTTTAAAAAAAAAAAAAAAGTTTAAAACAAGTAAATATGATCTATGTTCCTATCTATATCACTAATTCTAGCTGCATGAGGATTA